CCGCCCCCCTCCTCCGGCCGTTGCTGTGGCGAGTCTGCGCTCACCGTGCGACCACCCTCAATCGACACGAGTCGATTGGACACCAAGTGGACGAGCGGCCACGCCACCATCTTCGTCCTTCTGCACAGCCCTACTTCGTCCCCCACACGCCTCCCGCCCCTGGCCGGAATCTGTGTGTCCCACCTTCTCCACACACGGCCGTGGCTTATCGTGTACAAGCCACCCTCGTTCTGCTTGGCACCGGGGTCTGTCCTCCGCGGGCACCCCGTCTCACCTCTCCCGATTACGGACAGGGTGTGGCAGCAGCAGCCGTCGCACGGGATGGGGACTGAGTGCTGTGCCCTCCTGTCAGGCCACGATACGTGCGGACCGTGGACGTTGCCGTGGGCTAGCTCACGATAAGGGTCCTGTTGAGGTGTCTGATAGCCAGTGGACTACTCCCGTCTTCGCTGTTGACAAGAGCAGATTCTGGCACTTGGCGTGGCGCGATCGTGGCTAGATACCTGGCGCGACGCCGATCGACACGCAGTTTCCCTCCGCGCATTGCGGTCTGCCATGGCGCCACGATGTGGTCGACGACGAGCCCGAGTCGATTGCATTGTGCACTGTCGCAGGCCATATCAGGTCATGTTGACTCCCCTGCCCCGGGAGTCCGACGGGTGGGGAGGACGCAGCGAGGACGCACTTCTTTTGCGCATTCTCTCCGCCCCGTGCTGGCTGTGTGAACGCTTCTCGGGCGCGAGCCAGCAATTCCCCTGCCCGGCCAGCTTCTCCCCGACCTTCCTCGCCTTGTCCCTTCACTGTTCGCGAGATGCTGTGAACGACGGCTCCCGCTCACGTCGCCTCTCGTTCGCTCATTCTCTCTGTTCCTCTTTTGTTCTCCTCCGCTTTCCTTGTCCCGTAAGCGCTGTGACTGACGGCTGACGCGGCGCAGACTATCGAAGTCGACAACAAGACAAAGCTCGCCTTTACCCGCCATGAGCCCATCGGAGTGTGTGGCCAGATGTACGTCCGCCATTACTTGTTGTTTCCGATTTTGTATCCGGTGCGGAGCATCATCCTTCGTCGACCAGCATATTCGGTGGCTCGCGCGGCATGGGGTGCGCTGGAAACCATCTGGGGTTTCCTCTACCTTTGTATGCCGCTGATGCAGGCTTCGGAAGTTAGAGCGCAGACGACATGCAATAGCGACGGGCAGCGAGTGCACAGATGTACCAGGCTGTTGTCGCTCGCGGTCGGATACGAGTCCTGTTTGTCGCATTCTACACTCCTGGCGGGCTGCCGACTGTGCAGTGCCTTTTGCGATTCCCCCCTTTCTGTGTTCTGCATGTGCAGTGTCCCGCATCGCATCGTCCTTCTCTAAACAATCCCGCGTCACTGGGCCCCAGCGCGTCCCTGTTTCGCGCCTCCGACTCCGCGCCCGTCGCCTCCGCTGTCTTCCCGCACAACCGTATCACGCCCAGATCTGACCTCCCCACACAGCATCCCGTGGAACTACCCTATCAACATGTGGTGCGTCGCTTGCGTCCCGCTCCGCCCTGCCCCCCCAGGGAGCCAGCGAGTGCGGCACTGCTCACGATGACGATGTCGCAGGTCGTGGAAGGTCGCGCCCGCCCTCGCGTGCGGGTGCACGATCGTGATGAAGCCGTCGGAGCTGACGCCGCTGACCGCCCTGGTGAGTGTGCGACCGCCGCTGCGCCGATGCCATGATTTTCCTGCAAATGCCATGCCCCTCTGGGCGTCCCGACGGATCTCGACGCGCTCCGAGCCGTTTTGCTCCGAACTGCCCGCCGCCGCCTTGTTTTGTTACGATCGTATCTGGCGGCCCGTTGCGGTAGCGACGCCTCGCCTTCACGGGGCGGTCGCTATCCCGCCGAGCGTGGACGCGCGCATGTATCGAGCAGCGCGGGCGCGGGGCGCCTGGAGCTCTTCCCGCGTTATCAGAAGAGCCCTCTGACGCCACTCGGACGCAGCGCCCCCGTTCTGCAGCGCGAGTCTTCCTCGATTTTGGCGGTCACTGGCGAGGAGACGAAGCGCCTTGCATGCGTGCTCGTGTCGTGAACGGCTGCGTTGAGTAGCTTGGGCTTTTCATTGTTCGCTCGCGGCGCCTCTGGACATGAAGCTGGCTCCCGTAGGGATGGCATTGACTTCTACTCATTGCATGGCTTCTGACGAGCGCTGAGCCTGTGGCGCCCGTATCCCAGACTCCTTCCCTCACCCGTCTCTCTGGGATGGAATCATCTATGTTCCCATCGAGGCAGGATCGCACGGCGACTTCCTGTGTTGCGCCAGGACCCTGAGCAGCCTCGGGGTCTATGTCTCCAGTGCGTCCGACCGTCCAGCGGTTGAGAGCAGGGGGCATGGGAGGGCCTGCGCGCCTATGTGTCGTTGGGACGTCAAAAAGGACGTCCTGTGATGCTGGTGGGCACAGTTGCCTGTCTGGACACCATCTGTCGGGTTCCGTGCTTTCTATGCTTATGCCGGCATAGAAGCACCCATGACTACACGCTGGACAATCGTCGTGCTCGGATTGTTCATCGCGGCTCGGCACTTGTGTGCAACTTGTCCCGGGAGCTCATATCATTTGCGCCCCAAACTCTCGTCACAGCTTCTGTCGAGAGGCTCTTAACCCCTCCTGCCTCTTGCGTGGTCGTTCCAGTGATCCCCGTACTCATTCCCCACCTCCCCGCAGAAACTATCTGAGCTCATCGTGGAAGCGGGGTATAAAATCTCCTTGCCCCCTGCCGGGACGAGGCTGCTGACCTCGCACTTTTTCGCAGCTTCCCTGAGGGCGTTGTCAACACCGTCCCCTCGCTCGGCTCCGTCGGGGGAGCCGCGCTGTCATTGCACAAGGATGTCGACAAGGTGGCGTTCACGGGGAGCACAGTAACCGGGCGCAAGATCATGGAAGCTGCAGCGAAGAGCAACCTGAAGAAGGTAAGCACGCAGCCCTGCAGCGCGTCCGACGCACCTGCTGACCCTCGCGCTCCGCCATTGCTCTTCACACCTGATGGCGTCGATAGGTTAGCCTGGAGCTTGGTGGGAAGTCGCCACATATCATCTTTGAGTCTGCGGACCTTGATCAGGGTGCGCTCTCTCGGACGCACTAGTAGTGCCTGTACGCCCGCTCACTTACGTTTGTGACCGTGCGCGTCCTCGCGTCCCCACGCCGTCTTCCGCGCTGCAGCTGCGAACTGGGCCGCGATGGGCATCCTGTACAACACTGGGCAAGACTGTACGGCCGGATCACGCCTCTTCGTCCAGGACACCATCTACGACAAGTTCATGTCGGTGCGTCTCCTCGGTCCGCTCGGTGCATGTGCACAGGTGACTGATCATCACCCACAGATTCTGGTCGGGAAAGCGAAGCAGCTTATTGTTAGCGACGGCTTCAACGAGAAGGCCTCTGGCGGTCCTGTGGTGCGTCGGACCATGTCCCCTTCCTTCCTCGGTCTTGGTTATGTAATTTCAAACCTTAACCCCAATTCGGGTTCGTTTGACACCGGCGCGTGTTCTGGCGCGCATCGACCATGTTCCGCCCGCCACGCAAATCGAGGCTGATAGCATGCCTGTAGGTGTCCAAGACGCAATACGAGAAAATATTCCGCTACATCGGCTACGGCAAGGAGGAGGGCGCGAAGCTCATCTTGGGAGGAGAAAAGCGCGCCGGCAAGGGCTACTTCGTGGACCCCACCAGTACGCCGCATTCTTCGTCATGTTCTGCGTGTCGTGCTCGTGATTTTTGACTGCGCCCTTACTCAGTCTTCACCGACGTCAGGCCGGACATGAAAATCGTGAGTGAGCCGCGCTGTGCTGTGCCGCCGGCCTAGGGGTGCGAATGACGAGCGCGCGGCGTTTGCAGTTCCAGGACGAGATCTTCGGGCCAGTGCTATCTGTCGCCAAGTTCGCGACTGAGGAGGAGGCAATCCGGCTCGCCAACGATACCACTTATGGCCTAGGTGCCGGCCTGCATTCCAGTACGTCCCCGCATGCTGTGCGCTCAGTCGCGATCGGCCTCGATCGGTGTGCAGCCCGACGACGCGCTGACGTCTCGCGATAACGTCGATCGCCTGCGCACGGGCTGCCTCCTATGTCTGGCCGCTCGGGACGGGTGTGTCATCGGTGCTCACGCTAATGGATGCGTCCCTCGTCAGATGACGCCGGCCAATGCATGCGCGTCTCGAACGAGCTGGAGGCGGGAACGGTGAGTGTTTGCGATCGCGCGGCGGGAGACGTTTGAGATCATGCGGAGGCTGGGGATACCGGCGGCGACGACGGAATCTCAGTATCTCGGGATCTCTGCAGAGCGCGCGTGGCTCAGGAGGCCCCTCCGACGGGCCTCCGTGCCGCGGCACGATCGCTGCTAGCTCGCCGTTGCGCCGTCAGAAGCGGGCAGGGACTGACCGACTGCTGTGTCGGCAGGTCTGGGTGAACCAGTACAACCTCCTGTACAACAACGTGCCTTTTGGCGGAAAGAAGCAGAGCGGCATCGGTGCGTGCTTTCTTGGATTTGCAGGCCGATCTCCTATGCGCGCGCCGGTGACTGCGCCGGTGACTGAGCGTCTCACGGCGCAGGCGTGGCTCTGGGATTGACGTCGGTGGTGTGCTATGCTGATGCCGCGTTTGCCCACAGGCCGGGAGCTGGGGAGCTATGCGCTTGAGGAGTATACGTCGGTCAAGGCTGTGCACTGGAACTTTGCCGATAAACTGGACTGGCCGCTCTGAAGTGGAAGATGATGAATTAGTCCGTGAGCCAACGGAGGGGTGTACGATTATTAGAAATATCTAGGCGCGGATCTTCGCGTCGATGTACGCGCGTGTACTCTTTTAACAATTCTCTTTTGTGCGAGTCCTAACGTGGTGGTATGAACGGAAGAGGTGTTGATGCACGCGCGCGATTCTGAGTGCAGCGATGCCTGTGTCAGTCAACTTTACAGCAGAGCGAAACCGACGAGGATGATGTAGGGCCGTGCAATAGTCTGACACGTCAATGGATTTGGTGAATGGCTCACAGCACAATAGGCTTGTTTGAAGACTGCTGCAAGCCCAAATTTGAAACAAGACACATCCATCAGGAACATCCTCTCACAATAGTTATGGCAAGACATCCACTAATTGTAGTAGAATTGTCCATAATGTTACATAATTATGGAACTCTCTAAATGATCTATATTTGCTGCTTGCATCATTTACCAGAATCTGTGTGCTAAATTTTCCATAATTACAGATGGGTAATAATACATTTATTGAGGGGTTTCAGACCACTTTCAGCCTTTTCATACATGAACATGTATGTGAACTTATTATAGGACAAGCCCAGACAAAATACTGTTATGTCACTGGCACAGCACACAACAAGTTGTTCAGTTTAGTGATGAGCATCTAGACTCTGTAGGCTTGGATCAACCTGATATTTTGACTTTGAACTCATGCTTGTGATTGGACAATGACTTCATGAGCTGGTATGATTCCTGCAACTCAACTCAACTCAGCTTGTGCACAGCCTGCTTGTCTGATAGTGTCTAATGTCAGATGGTGTCACAGAATTTCTAAGCATCTATCTTATCTCAGCATCTAGATGATCTACATCTTATCTGATTAGATGTCTTCCTATTACAGTAAGACAATAGATTGTGACATGTTGCTAGTCAGGTGGCTGCCCATAATTTGGGAAAGGCTATGGGAAATCTCTATCATATGAGAATATCCCCATCAGCCTTCTAGAATCATATAAGGCTGTTTAGGTGGTTATCAGTTGTTACAGTTTCAGGGAGGGGTTTTCTTTTCTTTTTGCCTTATCTTTATTTGATCCTGTGCAATCTATCTATAGCTATCACATATTTTCATAGTGTCTATCCTATCTTAAGCATCTAGATGATCTACATCACACCCAATTAGATACCTACCTAGATATGGATAATGACATGCATAGTGACATGTGACTAGTCAGGTGTTTAGCTTATCAGAAGCATGGCTGATGGGCTATTATACATTTACACAGAGATTTTGTTAAGGGACCTGATGACTGAGGATCAGGAGTTCCACTTAAGACTACTACTGATAAAAGGTACTGCTACACGTAAGGTTGACGCACTATACTAGAACTAGACTTGTGGACTGAGCCGCTATATCTGATAGCGGTTTGAGAGAGTATACTGGTTGAAGCAAAGCTTCAGACTAAAGACTAGAATAACAACTGAGTCTATTACTATAGACGTCCCTATGAAGTGTTTGTAGGGAACAAGAGGACAAAACTAAAGTACAGTAGCGGAAGCAGTGCTA